GTCTCCCTTCATCTCAAGCTTTGTCCTTCGTGCCCCCACCCCCACCCTTAAGTGCTCGTCATTTCTTTTCAGGCGGGACGTGGGAGCTAAGGATTACATAGGAACTATATCTAAGTGTCTGTGGCTCCTTCCCAGGGTTGGCCCACTCACCTCCCCACCCCCAAAACCACCATTTTCTGCACCGAAGTGCGGGCGCTGGGCTGGCATAGGGAAAGGCCTGGACTGGCATAGGGAAAGGCCTGGACTCTCTGCCATCCCGATCCCCGGGATTACTGGGCAGCACAGACACTCACACCGATTTCAGAGGACCGAGGGGACTTACTTCCTTCTGCTTTTCCCCCTCGAACCAAAGGGCAATAGGCAGACGGTGTCTGGACTGGCAAAAAGGACCAGGACGAGAGGGACTTGGGCAGACATAGGCTCCTGGTCACGTGAGGGCCGCGCGTCACCACCGAGCTCAGATCCCCAGTTACCACTTTGACCGGCAGCCGTGCTGCAGCAATATGCCATTACTTCCAGATCCCCAACGCACCAGGCATCGTCACTCACCTCTCTTTATTTATATTTGCCTTTTCCTGGTTACCAGACACAGCATCCAGTCCTGGGGATTATTGCCTCTTCCTCTCAGCAGCTTCCCCTGATACCACCTCTCCCCCTCCTTTTCACGTCATCAGCCACCAAGCCCATTATTTCCCCTACAGTCCAGATCCTGCACTGAAATTTGACTATTTCTCTTTAATGAGTCAATATCATATGCTGCCTCTCCTAGTTTAAATCCCTAACTCCATCATGTCCTTGTAGGCTCTGTCAACACGGGTTGCATCTCTTGTCACTTTCATGAGAGATAAGCTTTCACTTTTCCATGACTTAAGAATTTTATTTTTTTGTAAGCCACCAGACCTATATCGAAAATAGAAGCTCTAGTCTAAATTGGTAATCATTCAGTTCTAGAACTCTAGAAAGAATTAAGTTTTTAAAGTATGTAACTCCAAAAAAGACTGAATACTTTGAATTTCATAAATCAAAATACATATTTGTCCAAGTACAAATAGTCTGGAAACTTATTATCTGAAATGGGAGCATTTTTGGTGGAGAGTGTGATATTAATATATATATGTAAGTATATATATAAATATATATGTAAGTATATATATAAATATGTATATACTATTCAGTCATTATTTTTCATAATAGAAGCTAGAAATTTTGCTGGGACTCAGATTCTTAACCAGCCATTTCTTGGTGTTGGTGGTTGAGAAAGTTTATATTAATTCATTAAGTGAGCAAGTATTTGGGTCCTGGGACTGCTGGACCCAAAAAGATAGATTCAGCACAAGGACTTTCATATTAAACTAGGCAATAATTCTCTTGAGCACACACTGAGTAGTGGGATTAAAATCATGCTCACATGATTTTCAGTTGTCATCACAAGTCTGTATTTTGGGATCAAATTGTTTTATGATCTTCACCATCATGCGTGCATCTCACCTACTCACATCAGCCTGGATGCTACTTTCTCATGCAGATGCCCTTTCTTCAAGGGAGCAGACTATACCTCTCCTCTCTATATTTTACACTCTCAGGGTAGGTGGCGATCAGATCTGTGAGGATCTTGGGATTGCTTCTCTCAAATCCAGGCTGACCACCTAGTAAGTTTCCAAACAGAAATTCACATGTGAAATTTTCCATTTCGTAATTTTGTTCAACATTTAATTTACTTTGTGCTGAGATAGCAGAAAGACAGATATTAGTTCACCTTTACATCTTTTACGTAACTGTTACTTTTCAAAACCAAGTTTACACTGCATTATACCTTCTTTATTTTTTTCACTAAGGTTTGGCTTCATCATTGCATGGTTTCTTTCCAAGAGGAGCCCCATTTCATTCATTTCTTCATTTCTATCCTTTTTTTCCCTTACATCCTGTGATAGAGAACTCAGTACCTTAAAAGACACCCTGTTGAAGGTTCAGGCAATTCTCATCATTCAAAATGGGTTTTTGTTGTTGTTGAGCTGAAATCTTCCTCCCAGTAGTTTACACACATTGATCCTGGTTCTGCCCTCTGAAGGGTACAAGTATAAAATACAAAAGTGCCTTTTACCCTTGACAGCCTGACACAGCCAGAGTCAATGTTCTAGTTCTTTCCTCTTCCCATCTGAGACAATCTACTTGACCTTTCTGTGACTCAATTTCTTCATCTGCAAACTTGGAGACATAATAGTACCTACCTTATAGGATTTGTAAGAGGAATGAATGGGTCAGTATATGTAAAGGGCCTGGAATAGTACCTAGCATATAGAAAGCACTCTATAAGCACTAACTATAATAATAGTAATAATAATGGTATGACATAGTGCTAATAACACTACTAATTATCATTCTATTAACATTAATTGACCGCTTATGCTGGGCATTACACTAAATACTTTCAATCTCATTTAATCTTTAAACAATTATGTTCTTACAAAAAAAACTCCTGTTATTTCACCTCTTTCTGATGTGATATTTTTTTTTTTTTTTCAAATTTACCATCCTACATGCTCCTCCTGAATTTGTAAATGTCTCTGAAAATACTAAATATTATGACTAGTGTAGAATGGAGTGATCTTATCACATCCTTCATTGTAGAATAGCCACTATACGTCTATAGGTGCATCCTAAGATCATAGCAGATTTTGTGGATACCATATCACAGTTGAATCCAGGTGTGTTTTTTTAAAGAACCAATTGCATAATTGATTTAGGGACTTTTTTTAAAAACTTTTTTTTACATTTTTTTAAATTTTACTGATTTGAGAGAAAGAGGAAGGAGGAGAGACAGAGGAAAACATCAATTTGCTACCCATTGATGTGTTTGTTCATTGGTTGATTCTTGTATGTGCCCTGACTGGGGATTGAACCCGCAACCTTGGTGTATCTGGACAATGCTCTAAACTGAGCTATCTGGCCAGGGCTACAGTTGAATCCAGTTTAAGTTGCAGTCAACTGAGACCCCCAGATCTGTTTCATACATCTGTTAATGCATTTCTATAAGTCATTTTAGATTTTATTTATGTGTGGGTTTTTTCAGAAAACTAGGTGTGGGCTTGAAAGAATAAATTGGAGATCCTAGTGAGAAGGATGTTACTAGAGTCCAAGTGAGAGCTGACAAGGCATGAAGAGAGGCAGTAATGGTGTGGGTAGAGAGAGGGGGACAACAGACAACGACCTAATGGTCGCAGAAGGCTGCTTCATTCCCAGGCCAGTGGTCATAAGGGCAACTGTTGGTAAGCCATTCCCCATTCCCCTGCCTGAGACACAGCTCAGCATGGACAGCCACTGGTGACAGACTCAAGGAGACAGAAGCCTCGTCCTTATTGCCCTGACAGGAAGACTCTGGGAGAAAGATATGACAATACATAAGACATACGTAGCTCTACTGAGACCTACAAGAGCTCCAATCCCCAGTCGTGAAGCTGTGATACCTCCCGCGTTCAGAAATTGGCTCAGGCTACAATGGGATTTTTTTTTTTTTTAATCCTCACCTGAGGATATTTTTTTCAATTGCTTTTCAGAGAGAGTGGAAGGCAGGGGAGAGAGAGAGACATCAATTGGTTGCCTCCTGCACGCACCCCGACTAGGGTAGAGGATTGAGCCTGCAACCCAGGTACGTGCCAAGGAATGGAACCCCGGGACCCTTCAGTCCGAGGACCAATGCACTAACCAAAGAGCAACCAGCTAGGGCAGTCATTTTAGTTTTAACCCAAGTATAGAAACTTCTATTTTTCTGGGTTAAATGTTGTCTTGTTAGATTCTCCCTCATTCTTTGAATTCAGGTTCTGTCATTCAGTACATTAGCTACAAAATATTAATTTAAAGCACACCAAGGTCAGGAAAGATCTAGGGGAGATCTCAGCAAAGAGCTCTGACTCCAAATAAGAAAATTCCTTTTCCCTGTTGAGTGTGGCAGCCAGGAGTGTGTGCCCTGCTGGGCCAGTTCCGTTCCTTTCCTCTCTCAGTGTGACTTCTCAGGATAGGATTACTTTCTAGTGCTGCTGATAGAAGACACAGTTGCCCCTCAAAGTTCCCAAACCAGTATAAATTAATCCTTGATGAGAGCTTGGTAAACATGGGGGGTGGGCAGACAAGGGAGGTAGGAGAAATTGGAACCAGGAAAGGAGGAAGGAAGACTGTGTTGGTATTGGCTCTAATTCTCTGCCTGACAGTAGCTGATTTGGGGTTCCCTTGAGAGGAAGGGCTCTCCACAAGGAATAGGTGAAGGTGGTTTTGCCGTGGTGATTTGTTACAAAGGAATGTGATGGGCTCCTTGTCTGTGTGTGATCAGGTTGAGAGCTGTGAGATAATCCTTCCGATGAATTTGACTTGATACTGCTGATGTAAGGTCCTGTGATGATTTGTTGCTGGGCTCACTCTTGCTAGTGAGGGCTGAAGTCTAAGAAACTCCATTTTACAGGTGAGATAACTAAGGCTCTGGGAGGTTACATATTGTTCCCATGGAAACACAGATGATAGTAAGTAGCTGAGGTGGGATTTAAACCCCAGCAGTGTACATGCGAGACTGAACCTTTAACCACTTTGTAAAACTGTTCCTGGGCAGTGGGCTCCAGACACCTTATGTGCAGCCAGGGTGGGCAGCACAGGCCTTTTCATGTAGCAGGAGCTGAAGGCTGTCAGGGCAGCCAGGGTGCAGGGGAAAGACAGCCCCTGGCAACTGCTGCCATGATAATAGTCCCCAGAGGTGTGGCCTTCCTCTGAGGGATCTGAAGAAGTCAAGGGTGGTTTCTGGGTCAGGGATTCCTGTACCCTGGTGAGGCTGCACTTCTGTGGCATGATCAGAGCCCCCCTCCCTCTGAACCCCTCTACAGCACAGACTCGGTGGAGGTCTGGTTTCATTTTTCAGGGCCTGCCAGCCTAGAGTTGAGTTCTGCCCTCTCCAGCCCAGAAGTTCCTCATGCTGCTGCAATCTCTGCATTCCTTCCAAATGACACCCATGGCAGTTCTTTGTCTCAAGACTTGCTGCTGTAGGCGGCAGCCTGTCCAGACTGTGGTTCTCAGGCTCTCCTCACCCCAACCTCCCCCAAGGGAAATAGTCAAGTGGGAAATGCAGTGACTAGAGTCTTCTCTTTTCTGCTCCTGGCCTCATCTTACTAGCCACCCCCTACACACACACACACACACGCCACGCCACACACACACATATACACCCATACCCATGTATGTGCCCAGAGAAACAAGGAAGGGTCTTTGAGGAAAGGTGGGGCCCGGCTGGGCGTGGCTCAGCGGTTGAGCATTGACCTAGGATCCAGGCGATCAGGGTTCGATTCCCGGTCAGGGCACATGCCCGGGTTGCGGGCTCTATCCCCAGTTGGGGGCGTGCAGGAGGCAGCCGATCAATGACTCTCTCATCACTGATGTTTCTCTCTCTCCCTCTCCCTCTCCTTTCCTCTCTCTGAAA